TTGTTTCAGATGCTCAGAGACCTCTACTCAGTATGTAGTGTGAAAGGTCAACCGGTGGTTCATTGCCTATTTCTGAGCTTCCTTACATACCACTCATCGAATAAAATGAGTCTTAATGCAGGTAGCACTCATTTAAATCAAACAAAAAACGACGCCAATTTTTGGGGCACTAAAGAAAGCCTAATGGTGTAAATAAACTTGCCTGTAGAATGGGTTGTGCAGTTGTACACCGCGTTCGGCCAATTCGAAGATACTCATGGCCGAGCAGCATCCACCAACAAGGAGCAATTTGGGCCAATAATAGACGGAAACACCGAACCTCGTTTGCTTCCGTTCTCCATGCGGTGAGTCCATTAAATGCTCACCTGTAAAAACCAACCAGAAACAGGCCAATGTAGCGTAGAATGCTCCTTGACGTAGATCCGAAAGTACAAGCCAAAATGAGACATCGAATCTGCAGGAAGTGCAATTTAAACAATTTAAGAACGCTGACCAACCACCGACTGGCAAATAATTAGACACTAACTTGAGAGAAAGCCATTCAATGGGACAGTTGAAAATGCAGAGAACTAGTCCCAGAGCAAATATTGTGGTTTCCATAATAGTTGGTGAACGCTCCAATTCTGAGACACGTCGCCAGAAGAATATTACAGTAGCCAGGCCAATTGGGAAGAGGAAGGTTTTTAGCGCAAACCATACCTGCAAAAGTATATAATAACAATAAAAATTAAGGAGATATTTTCCGATTATAACGTAGAGATAAAAGAGAAGGCTAGGATGTCAAGGTCATCTAACTTGGAGATTGGCCATTTGGAGCGTGCAGATAGCACTGTTGCTGCATTCCAATGACTCACTCAACTAGTAAATGTGCGAATGGGCGCTCGAAATGTGCAAATGAGAGGATTTCACTCTGTGCACCCTCGCGCGGTGGAACGCAAGAGAGACAGACCCGAGACACAGCGCTCGGAATTTCGCACACAAACACACACAGACGACACAGACACCGACGCGCACTGCAGACAACATGTGCTAATTGGAAAAGCAGCCATAAGGGAATCTGCATGCGCGTATGGCTATTTCATTACACCTACGCGGCTAAAGCAATTTTTAACAGGCCGATACTTAGATGTAAATATCAGACCAGCATATTGGAGTGCCAATGTTGGGGAAATTTTCCAAGGCCATTGTTGAAAACTCGCTGCCTTACAGTTATCTTTGGTTATGCTAAAAAACTCATACCCTTGACCAATACGAGTAGGTACACAAATGAGCGTTTAGGTCTTAATATCTATGCCGTAGAACACACAAGTTGGAGTTTCCATCACACCCCCATAAATGACAAGTTCGAGTCCAGCTAAAAATAACATCATAAAAGTGTCCACTATGAGAAGACGATATAACGACGACCCATTGGGATTCTCTCTAATAGCATTCAAAGCAACAGAATATCATCGTTTTAACCCCAAAAGTAAGCCGGGAGTACTTTTTTGTTTATATCGGGAATCATGTTGTAGTACTTGCAAGTCTTTTATCGAAATAAGTGAAATTTACTGGATAATCGAACAAAACGAATAAAACCATTCGTCTGACGTAGAAATAATCGAAAGATTCCTTAAATTGTGTTTCATACCTCTGGCCATTTATTGCCAAATTCTACAAACGATACTAAAATTAGAAAATCGAGTTTGTATAAGGGAAGGATATCGATAGGTCGGTAGGATTAATCGCAAATTCTTGAATTTTATATTTTTATTAGATTTAATACGCTATCAATACTTAATTATAAAATCTCAGTTAGAACAAATGGTTAGAATTGACGTAAACTTATTTTTACAAAATTCATGCGATTTAGGATTTATTCTTGCAAATTTTAATAAAAAACCGTTTTACAAAACATCTTGAACCAAAAAGAGTTCGAAAAAGAAAAATAATCATTATTATAGTTCAATAAGGGTGCGTGCGATAGACTTACCTCCACGTGGTGCACCCTGGGCAACGTATACTCATACGGCAAAAAAGTCTATTAACTGGCAGTTGATTTCTGACTTAAAACTACCATGACCCCACGGTATGTCGTATTTGACCCCTTCCACAGTACTCATCTTACCTTTTCTCTGCCTTAATGTCTGTCTATCTCTTTTGCATCCGTGAATCATTACTCTCCCCTCCCATCTCGACTTTCTGTCCCTTTGATGTTCCTCCTCCTCTCTGTGAGGCTAGAAGTCAGCTTAAGGGCTAATGATAACTATCAAAATGCCTGCCATTTGAAATAACTAAATAAATAAATTTATCAAAAGAGGAGAAGGGGCCACTGGCATTGAGCACCGGTTCTCTCGTCATCATCCTCGACACACACGACGACACCAATGACTCTGTAGATGCTATAAACTGTTGGAAGCAAGTCAGTTTCGCAGAGTGAATATATCTGGATCAAAATCCTCTTCCTGAGGAGAAAATAGAAAAGGCGGAGGTACTAATGGCCAAGGAGCCGAAGTTTCAGGAAATTTGTGACCTATTGAAACCGATTCAAAGGCATCTTGTTGTGCGGTTCCGGCATCAAAATGGTGGAATAGCGAAATTGAAACTCGAACGTTTATACGAATGTTTTAACTCACTATCCATGAGTCTAAAATTCGTGAGTGGATAATAACCTTTTCCGAGAGACCAAAAATAATGTGTTGGATGGGAAACCCGCTATTCTCTGGGCATATTTCGACTCATGTCGAAACTACTTCGTGTTTCCGCCTGCAACCCATGAAGACCACAAATTTAAGATGTAATTTAAAAAAATTAGTCATTTCTTCGAATCTTTCGGCTGTACTATGAGTAAAGGGTTAAACAAGCATTTAATCCTTTACTTTACTTACTAGCTATTTTACACATTGTAATTAAGTAAACTTTGTGGATATATTTAACAAATTTCGTGGAATTAAAGTTTGGAAATGGAACGAGCATTGGAAAACGTATTCTTGATAAATTCTTACCAAATAACATTTTATAGATAAGGCAGTATATATTGAAATTAATTTTATAACAAATGGCAGGCGTTTTGATGGTTATCATTAGCCCTTTAGTTGACTTCGGGCTTCACAGAGGGTAGGAGGAAAATCAAAGTGAGAAGAATTCAAGAGGGGGAACAGAAGAGTGATTCACAGTTGTAAAGGAAACAGACAGACACAAAGTCTCAGAAAGGGTAAGATGAATACTCTGGTAGGGGTCGACTATGACATACAGTGGCGGTGATAGTAGTTTGAAGTGGGAAGTCAACTGCCGGTTAATAGAATTTTTTCCGTATGAGCATACGTGGAGGTAAATATAACGCACACCCCGTGTATATTGAAATAGGATGATGATGATGATCAACAAAGATATGAAAGGTGGGAATGAGGACTGAGTATAGATCCTTGCGCGTCCTAACAACTACACTGCCATGGGGGTTGTCAGTTTGCTACCTCAGGTCATTCCCAATTCTACAATAACGGTGTACTTTGCGGCTCGAGGGCTTGTTAGATGAGGAAATATTAATTTAAAAGCTCTAGCATACGAAACTTGCTATTTAAATGTATTCAGTAGCCATGTATTTATGTTACACACGGCTGTAGAGTCTGGATATAGGTAATTTCAACCTCGAGATGTGTGATTTGGAATAAGGGTCCGTTATAGTTTACAATAAAGGAAAAGAATTCGTAGTCTTACCGCGCTACATAAACGTCATAAACAAGG